CCAACTCTCTGATGCATAACAAGCGATTGCAAATACCATGACCTGTATCAGGCGCACCTTAGTCTCCAGAGAGACACTGTTGCTCCTGAGTACGTTTGAGAGGTCCCTAAGTGCAGCCTCTTACTGTCTGAAAAGCAACTTGTTTTGCATAATAAAGATAATATTCACCTTAACTATGATATTCCTGGACATTAAGAGGTTTGCTATTTTCCATATTCTTTTACAGTATGTAAAGGAAACATACTCTTTGATTTTCATTTAGCAAGAAAGTAAATTAGATGCTATCTAACTCTGGTGGCCATCCCAAAGGCAAAAATAATCAAATCCACCAGCTTTTCTGTGGGAGAATGATGGGCAATCTCCTTCTGTGGATTAAAACTGTCTCTGAAAAACTGCTCAAGAGGAGAACAGCTATGGATGTGTTAGACCATAGTATACAATAAGAAAAACTTAATTTCAATAGGATAAATTACTACCTTACAGATGAATTTCGGGTTCCATTTTCATTTAGTAATGAGACTGAAGGCTCCCTGAGAGCCATGTTAGTCTATCTTTGGAAATTTTTGTCATGAATATGTTGTCCTACAAAAGGCAAGAGTGTTTCATTTAGTAGAAGAAAGATGACCTCTTGGTTTCTCATATTCCTCACCATACTGGTTCAGGTCTAAGCCCAATTTGTGCATTCAAAGCAAAATTGGGAAGGGAAGCATTTTAGAGGTTTTTCTCCAGCATTTTTGTCTGTATTTTATTATGCAACAAAATGTCTGGGTCAAACACAACTTATGCCCCAGTGATACTTATCCCATGCTTCTGCATTGTTTACCATATTTCCTCTTTATATGCTTAAAAGAAAAAAAAAACAACTTCTAGATTTGTTGATGGTTTCAATTGCTCTTCTGTTTTTTTAATTTCATTTATTTCTGCTCTAATTTTAATACTTTTAGTTTTTTTAGAGGGTGTTGGGTTTTCTTGCTGTTCTTTTTCAATTTGCTGGAGATATTGGGTAAGAGAGTCAATGGTCATTTTTTTCTGCTTCTGATATGTTTGCATATTGCTATATATTGACCTCTGATTACTGCTTTGGCTGTTTCCCCAGAGGTTTTGGTAAGTGGTGTTTTCATTGTCACTTGTTTCAAGAAAGATTTTAATTTCATTTTTTATTTCTTCCAGTACCCACTCATGTTCAAACAAGGTATTGTTCAGCTTCCAAATGTTTGATTATTTCCTCATTTAACCTCTCATTATAAATTTCTAATTTTTAGCATTGTCATCTGAGAAGATGCTTTACATTATTTATATGTTTTAAAATTTATTGATGCTTCTCTTCTGATCAAAAATTGTGATCTATTCTGCAGAATGTTCATGGATGTTGGAGAAGAAAGTGTTCTGTGCTTTTTTGGGGGTCATTAGCCTAGAAATATCTATGAGATCAAGTTGGTTTAATTCCTCAGTATCTTTGTTGCTTTTCTTTCTGGTAGTTCTAGCTTTTCTTGAGAATTGTGTATTGAAGTCTCCCACTAATGTGGTAGTGTTGTCTATTTCCCTTTTCAGTTTTGTTAAGGTTTGTTTTATATATTTTGCTGGTCTTTCATTTGGTGCATAGATATTTATTATTGTTATGAAATCTTGTTCTATTGACATTTTAAGCATTATGCAGTGACCTTCTTTGACCTTTGTTATGTTTTTTAATTAAAATTTATTTTATCAGAATTAATATCATTAGTGCTACTTTTTTTCTGGTAGCCATTTGCTTGGTATATGTTTTCACCACCCCTTTATTTTTAGACAAACCATTAGCAAAACTAACAAAAGAAAAGAAGAAAAAGACACAAATAATCGAATAAGAGATGAAATGGGCAATATCATAACAGAACCAACTAAAAGAAAAAGGCTAACATTGGAATGTTATGAAAAACTATACTCAAACAAATTTGAAAACCAAGAGGAAATGAACAAATACTTAGAAAATGACAACCTACCTAAACTGACAAAAACGGAAATTGAACACCTGAATAGACCCATTACAAAAGAAGAAATTGAAAAGGTAATAAAACAACAACTTCCAGCCAAAAAAAATCCCTGGACCAGATGGTTTTACAAGTACATTTTATCAAACTTTCAGAGAAGAACTGTTACCAATTCTACATAAACTATTTCTGCAAATAGAAAAAAAGATGGAATTCTCCCAGACTTATTCTCTGATGCAAACATATCCTTGATACCAAAGCCAGGTAAAAAATACCATGAAAATAGAAAACTAGAAGCCAACATCTCTTACAACATAGATGCAAAAATCCTGAATAAAATCCTAATGGAATCCAATGATACATAAAAAAAAATAATTCACCATGAACAAGTGGGATTCATAACACGTATGTAAAGATGGTTCAACATAAGAAAAAGAATCAGTGTAATTCATCAGATAAACAACACAAAGAACAAGAACCATATGATCCTATCAATTGATGCAGAAAAGGCCTTTGACAAAATCCAACACCCTTTCCTGAAAAAAAAAACCAAAAAACAAAAAACAAAACACCAAAATAGGCTTAGAGGGCAATTTCTTCAAAATAGTAAAAACTATATACACTAAACCGAGAGCCAACATTGTTCTCAATGGGGAGAGATTAAAGGCATTCCCTTTGAGAACAGGAACTAGGCAAGGATACCCACTATCACCTCTCCTATTCAATATTGTATTAGAAGTCTTAGTGATAACAATAAGATAAGAGAAGGAAATAAGAGGTATCCAAATTTGCAGAGGGGAGGTAAAATTATCTGTCTATGCAGATGATAATGATAGTATACTTAGAAAACCCTAAAGACTCAGAAAGAAAACTATTAGA